CTATTATTTATGTCCTCCATTTTCTTTTGTTATATAATCTTCATAAACCCTCTCCATAAAGATCTCAAGCCAATATTCTACAATATTCTAAAATAATCTTTGGTTTATTGGAATATTTTCAGTTATAGCTTCTTCAGTATAAAATATATTGCATTGTGTTTTAGTTCATTGACTATAAAGGAGAGTACATAGAAGCCCTTAGGTGCCCCTTACTCCTCTCAGATATTTTATAAAGCACTCAGTTACAATTCATACGTGATGTGTTAAGATTTCTTTTAGACCAATTTTACTGAGTATAGTTTACATACCACAAAATGCACCTCTTGTAAGGGTACGGCTGCATTTGTTTTGCTGGGTGTATACATCAGTATACCTTCCACTGCAATTGTCAGGAAGGACATTTCTGTCATCCTCCATGTCCCTTGATTCCCTGGCTAGATAACGTCCCAGCCTATTCCTGGTGCAACCCAAGCTAATGTGCTCTATTCCCAGATCAGAGTAATTCTTTAACATAAATTATACCTTCTTTTTCTAGAATTTGATATCAATTGAATGACAAAATATGTATTTTTTTCAGCTTGACTTTTTGCACTTTGGGCAATGATTTTGAGAGTCACATATGCTGTACATATCAAAGACGGTTCCTCCTTACTGCTGAGCATAGCCCATTGAGGCATTGTCTACACTCTCTGCATCTATTAAACTTTTGCGGGACACTAATCTTCATGTTTTGGTTGTTACTAAGCTGCACTGTACCTTTATGTACAAGATATGTGTGCAATTTACTTATTTCTCTTAGGTGAATATTTAAGGATTGAATTAGTGGACTGTTGAATGACTATGTACTTTACTTATAAGACATTGCAAAACTATTTTCCATGTATCTGCAGCAATTTTCAATCATACTAACAATTAATGAAAACACCAATCACTCTACATTCTCGTCAATACTTGCTATCAGTTTTTAATCGTAGTCTCATTGTGGTTCTAGTTGGAATTTCTCTGTAAGTGTGATGAGAACATCTGTTTATGTGCTTAATTTTGCCTGTCTTCATTTGTGAAGGGTCCATACAAAACTTTTGATCACTGTACATTGTTGTTTAATCTTGTATTGTTTTTTCACAACTTCGTTGTATATTTTGGGAAGGATGCTTTTGTCATAAATATGTATGAAAATATCTTTTTACTCTGCATCTCATCATTTCATTAATGGATTCTTTGGAAGAGCAAATTTTTTAAAATTATGATTATTCCAGTGTATAATTTTAACTGGCACTTTATATTGACCTATTTCTGTGACTTTGCCTATTCTGAAGATATTCTTATATATTTTCCATTAAAATTATATTTTTAGATTTCATGTTGGGATTAGTGTTCGGTTTCAGTTACATTTTATGATGTGATAAAATATCACGTTTATTTTTTACACAATGATATCCAATTGTTCTAGCACGACTTTTTTATAAAACTTTTCTTTCATCCAACTGAATTACACTGTCACATTTGTGAAAAAATAAGTTGACCTATGAGAGTATGTCTATTTCTGAACCCTCTGTTCTGTTCTGTTCTGTTCTGTTGAGATCAGTCAATACTCACGGTCTTATTGTGTCTCATAAAAGTCTTGAAATGTACTATTTTCAGAACTGTCCTTTGGATTTCCACATATTATTTTGGAACTGGCATATCATTCTTTTTCTGAAAAGCCGCATAGGGTATTTTTTGTGTGTGTGCTGGGGATTGGGCTTATCACCTTGCACTTGCCAGGCAGGCACTTGTGCCACTAAGCTAAATCCCCAGAACCCTGAATAGTATTTTGATTGAAATTAAATTCATATGTTAATTAGGGAAGAATTTTCTTAATCATTATTGAAGCTTTCAGTCCATGGCAATATTTTGTTAGATCTTTTAAAAATTTCTCTTGTCAGCTTTCAGTTTACTGGCATTGCATCTATTTTATGAAATTTATCATAAATCATTAATTATTTTATGAAAATTAAATTTAGAAGTTCATTTCCTGTATGTTGACTTTTATTTATTGACCATGCATTCCATAATATTCCTAACTTCAATTTTTTATTTTAATAATTTTTTCCTTCCAATTAGTTTCCTATTTGTTTTCCCTTCTGTATTTCTCTTACTCCTGATCTCAGGAAGAAAAGGGTCAGTCTTCTATTATCATTATTTTATTAGCCATAAATTTCTCTTAAATACTCTCTTTTTCAAATTGAAGCAGTTACCTTTTCTCATTAGTTTGCTGAGAGGTTTTATTTTATTTTCAAGTCAAGAATATCTGTTGAACTTTGTCAAATTTTTCTTCATCCATTAATATAGTTATGTTTTCAATATTTTGATCAGTTAACACTTTAAGCTATACTGATTTCTGAATTTTATTCACTTTATTTTTTTGTTACCGGAGATCAAACTCATGAGCTCACACTTGCCAGGAAGGCGCTGTGCTGCTGAGCTACATCACTGGCCCTCATTTCTGAACTTTAAACAAATCTTAAAAACTTGGGAATAATTTCCTCTTAGTTATGACACATTATCTTTTTATAAAAATTTTATGTATTTTCCAGGGTCTTCTGAAGAAATTACTTTGTTCATCAGGGATATATGTCCTGTGTTTTAATTTCTTGGGATGCCTCTTGCATCAGGTTACTATTGGCTTCCTCCAATAATTACTGGAAATATTGTTTAATAACTGGGTTGCACAATAGTAATTTGTCTTTCCTGTTTTCATTTATCAGGCTGCCTGAGTTTTATCAGTTATATTACCATATGCAAAAACTAGTTTCATGTTTGACTGATTTTTATCTGGTTTTGGGTTAAAATTATTTTCTCCTCTTCATGGTTTTTATGTCTGTATATTTTGAATTTATCTTGCTAATCTTATACCTGAACTAAAAGGTTAGATTAATTTAGTTCTTTTTTCCTTATTAATATAATCATTTAAAGTATACATTTCCTTTCAGAATTTACCTTTAATATATCTCACAAATTTTATTATGTTACACTTTTATTTTTATTATGTCCAAAATATGTCCTTTTATTATTTATTATTATTATTTATTATTATGTCCTTTCTTCTTTGAATCATGGGTTATTCAAAAGTACTGCTCTGTTATTACCTTCTATTTCAATTTTATTATGGTCAGATATATATATATATATAAATGGGCATTTAATCCTTTTAAAATCAGGTCAAAAATCTTTAAAATTCACCATGTCTTATCTTACTGTCTACACTGTCTGTTTTGGCGAGGGTTCTTGTGCACCTAAAAATAGTGCACATTATGTTGTTGCTGATTTTAGTCTTCTGTAAGTGTTAACTGGGTGTAGTTGCTGGTGACATTATTGATGTTTTTTTCTTTTGTAGTCTCAATAATTTTCTTTCTTTTTCTATAATCTACAACTATATTTCCTTTTCAGTTCGGTCATGTTTTGCCACACTGTCTGAAGCTCTTTAATTAAAGAGCTATTCATTAGTGTTGCTATAGCTTTCGCTCTATTGTCTTTAATAATTCTGAAACAGCCTTCTCTATTCCTCTCAGTGTTATTTGTATTATGTTTATATTTCCTCTAATTTTTTATATGTATATCCATAACAATTTTATGAATAATGATTCCATCTTCTTTGTTCCTCAACCTTCTCACTTTTCTTTTTTCTTTTTTTTTTTTTTCCTGGTCTTTCTCGTTTTTATCAGTACCAGGGATTGAACTCATGACTGCACACTTGCAAGGAAGGCGCGTATGCTGCTGAGCTAAATCCCCAGCCCCAACCTTCTCACTTTTAACTAATACATTTATTTATATGCATAGTGGGTTTCTTCTATACAGCGTGTCATTTTGGTCTTACTTCTATGTAGTCTAACAGCTCCTTCCTTTTAACTGGAATTCAGAACGATTTATGTAAGGCAATTATTGACATGGATGTACTTAAATTTACCTTGTTGCTATTTATTTTGTTTTACCTTCTGCGTTTTCTTTCCACTTATTAGTTGAGTATTTTTTTGGTTTATTATATTTTAGCTAGAGCACTGTTTCATTTTTAGAGACGTTTTCCTCAGCTTAGAATATAAATATTAATCATCTTTTTTATTGACATAATAAATTTATAGACTGCACATACAAGGAAATAAAGTAATATGCTCTTGAACAGCCAATGGTCAATCCAAAAATTAAAAAGGAAGTTAAAATGGATGATAATGAAAATGCAGCACAGCAAAATCTGTGAAAAAGCCACACCCAGAGCGAAGTTTGTAGCAATTAATTCTTACACCAAAAAGTAGAAGAAGCTCATATGAACAGCCTAGATTTTCATTGTAAGCAACCATAAAACAAGAAGAAATCATACCTAACATAAGTAGAAGGATAAATAATAAAGATCACAGAAGAAATAAATAAAATAAAAATTAATGTAAAAGATTAATAAAAATGAAGAGCTGTTTTTTAAAAAAAATTGAAATTGTTTAGCTAAACTAAAAATAAAAGAACATAAAATCAGAGCTGAGAAAGAATACATAATGATAAAACAAAAATACAAAAGACATTATAGTTACATAAAAAAACTACACAAGCCGACAAACTTTGAAATCTAGAACCTTATGCCCTTTTGGAATAGTGTGTATATTTTTTCATCTCAAGAATTCTCATTTTAGTATTTTTATGTTTTGTTTCTGTTTTCATTATTTTATAGCAGCTTTCTTAAATGTTCTAGTCTGCCAATATTGTAATGTTTGAGTATTTCTTATCACCTCAATGTTCTCTTGCTGTATGAGTCACTTTGCCTGCTTCACGGCATACCTAAGACTTTTCACTGGATCCTGCACAGTATTAATGATGCATTACTGAGTGCCCAGGTCTTTTCTTTCTCTGAAGATTATTTGTTCTGGCAGGAAGTTAAGCTTCTTGCAAATTAGCTTGATATTTCAAGATATTGTTTTCAAGCTTAATTTTGGCAGGACTTCCATCGTTTTTAATCTAGATATAGTTTGGCTGCAGCACTGTTTAATCTTGCTCTGCTGGCTTCTCTATGTGATTAAAGCTCCATGCTCTTGTGTATTACCGATCAGTTATCAACAGTGGCTTTAGGAGATCCACAGTCCTCCCGTCCGTCCTTCCAGCGGCCTGCTGGGCTCTGAGCTGCTGTGCGCAGGTTAGTGTTCAGCGAGGCTCCGCAGCGCTCTGCGGCAGGTCTGGGGAGCTGGGTGCTGGGTGCTGCTCCCTTCTCTCTTCAGCTTCGCGTTGTCTCTGCTTCCTTCTCTGCAGTGCCATTTCTATGCATCTAATTCATCTGTTTCCTCCTTCTTGCACTGTGATCTACAATGGGTCCTTAGGTAGGAAGGAGAGATAATTTCCAGGTTACCTTGTTTTTCTTGCTGAGGCGAGTCAGACTTGCGCTGTCATATGATGTCTGAACAGAGTTTCTTTTTTCATGTATTCTGTTCAGTTTTATGATTTGTTTACAGCTGGGTGTAATTCCGGGGCCGCTTGGTCCCTTGCAGTCAGTTACACATCTCTTGCCTGTTAAATAATACTGGAAAAACTACCGATACATTTTAGTATTTTTCTCTTAAAGAGAATCATGCTGTTTACCTTTTTTATTATAAAATAAAGTCTCTTGAGAATCAGACTTCTTGTGGATGGAGAGAATAGTGTAGATTTTATATTTTTTCAGATGCAGTCATATTTTAATTTTATATGTCCAGATGATTTAAGTTGAAGTGTAAAATGTTTCTGATTCTTCGTTTGTAATCATTCCGGCTGTTTCTCTGATAATAAGTTTTGTCTTTGTGGTGATTTGCATAATTTCGGCTCTGAGGGGGACCCCATGTCCTTGCACAGTGTCATCCCCCAAGTCTCCTCAGACCCAGGCAGGGGAGAGCCTCACACATGTCCACACGCTTCATCTAAATATCTGCACTCCAAAACTCCTTAAGCCATGAGAAAGCTCCGCTTGTCTGAGAGAAGTTTTGAAATATTTAGGAGTGCTGCACGAGGAACTTCTGTCAGTGCTTGGGAAGAGCTAACTTTGCATAAGTGTCTGTGGTTTTTTTGGATTTTTGTTATCAGCATTTCTGGAAGCTGGAAGTTTAAAATCTGAATTCTTACTGATACCCCACCGCGTGCAGAGTGTCATTTGAGGATGTGTTACATTCCTCTAGTCCCTTTAGTCTTCCGGAAAAGCTTATGGGACATGTGGGTGGGGGTTTAGGATAGGAATGAGACCCTGCTTTCTCTGCCAGGAGTGTGGCTTAGGTCTGGTGGGTGTCAGGAGGACCGGGAGGAGGACTGTATGTGTTCTATATCTTTTCCACCAAGAGATGAGTTCTGGAAACGGTAACCTCATTGCTGAGATTTCCTGGCTGATTATAACAAACCTCTAGGAATTAGATGAAGCTGACCCTAGCCTTTTCGCTGAACAGGCACAGCCTACTAGGCTGCTCAATATTTCATAGTACTAGAGATGAAGATAATGTAAAACTCTCCATTCTTTTTACAAAATACTTTAACTGTATCAAGCGCTCATTTAGTTTTACGGCAACCACTTGGACTTTCTCAAACAAACTTCGTTAGATACGTCTTAGGTCCCAGTAGAGTTCCAGTACAGACTCAGGACTCACAAGAGGACTTCACACAGATATGGTGGTAGTTCTCACTGAAATGTTTTCTAAAGAACATAATTTGTCAATAATGTGTCACGTCTTTGCAGATTAGTCAGATTCGTTTCTGCTGAATGCCAGTTTCTTTTTGCTCCCAAGAGTTTGCTTGGTTGAACTGAATGTTGAATGCAAGCACATGCCTTTATTTCTATACTTTTGTGTTCCTTGGCATGGAAACAAGGTGTCCAGGAGTTACCACCGTTCCATTCTGAGTCATTTTTATAAAGGACAGATCAAAAAGGTCAGCTACTAACAGGTATCTGTTTTATGGTTCTGTGCTTATGTTACAGATTTGAACATATTTACAATCTTGGTGTGTGAATAGCTTATCTAATTTAATTAGCTGTGTATTTACTGTTAACATGTGGTATTGACTGTTGTATATTCACTTAATATGTAGTATCTTCTAATTTGCCTCCTGTGTAAGGGTCAGAAATTCATAGGAACAGAAATGAGGGCCTTATCCAAATGAGACAAATGGTCTACTACCAGCTGCACTGCCAGGCATTGCTTTCCTGAAATATTTACTTATTTATTTTTAATTAAATTTACTGGTACATTTCGGATATACATAATGATCATATTCATCACAGGGAATTTGTTCCCATGCATATTACGGTTCTTTTTTACCCCAGTTCTCTGTCCTCCTCCCTTCAATCTGTCTTCCCCTCCCTATTTACAAAGTTTTGTTTCCATTTTATCCTTTAATTGTTGGTTTTTTTCCCTTCCTTCTTTTCCCTCCCTCCACCCCAATTTTTTCCTCTTGAACAATTCCTTCTCATTTCACAATATCTATTGTGCAGTTTGGTTCTTATTTACTCTTTCAATTTCTTACACCAAGGAGACAATCAGATGTTTACTCAACCAATAACAAATGCTGGAGGGGCTGTGGATTAAAAGGAACCCTTCTCCATTGTTGGGAATGCAGGCTGGCAGCAAACACTGTGAAAATCAGTGTGAAGAGTCCTCAAAATACTAGGATTAGAAGTCCCATTTGACCCAGCTCTTACCCTTCTGGTATTCTCCCACAATAATTAAAAACATCATACTACAGCAATATATGTGTGCTCATGTTTAGAGCAACACAGTTTATAATAGCTAAATTTTGGAAACAACACAAAGGGTCATCAACCAAGAAATGGATAAAGATGTGGTTTTTATATATAATGCAATACTACTTAGCCATAAAGAAAGATAAATTTGAGACATTTCAAGGGAAATGGATACAACATGAGACCATATTCTTAAGTGAAATCAATTGGACTCCCAGGTCTTTTTGAGACAGGGTTTCACTAAGTTTCTCAGGTTGGCTTTGAACTCATGATCTTTGTACTTTACCTTCTGAATAGCTAGGATTATGGGTATGTGTTACCATATCTGACTTCTGTCTGATTATAACACATGTTGAGAAAAATGTCTTATATCACAACTAGTACCTGAAGATATACATATATATATCTGAAACAGGTTTCTATTACCCTACATTTTCTCTTACTGTGTGCAGTACACTCAGATATTTTCTTCTCCTTTTTTAAAAAGATTTTTTAAAAATTTTTATTTAAAGAAAAACTAAACAAAACAGAAAATGGGTAGAAGCAATACATAAGTTCAGAGAAAATATAAACAGTAAAAAATCACTAGTTAATGTATACATATTGTCCTTTTACAAATAGTTGTTCAAGACACAAAAGTGGAACATATAAAGTGACTGTAAACAGTTCTGTTCAACTATCCAATAAAAACTTAGTAATATGGTTGTCAATCCTATACACTTAAAGATACATGCAGTTACCCATATTTTCATTTATGCTGGGATTAAACAAATCTAAAGTCATTCTCAACAAAGAATAATAATATTGCTGGATTTCACATCATGACACTCTGGGATCAGCACTGGATACTACAGTGTCTTTTTTTAAAAATTTGTTTAAAGAAAGACTAAACAAAACAGAAAACAGGTAGAAATAATACATACTTTCAAAGAAAAAAATGATCAGTAAGAAATCACTAGTTGATGGTTACAGATTGTCCTCTTACAAATAGCTATTCAAGATACTAAAGGGGAGCATATAAAGTGGGGATTCAAACAATGAGACTGCAACCAGTTCTGTTCAACTGTCCAACAAAAACTTAGAAATATGCTTATCAATCCTATACACTTAACCATACATGCAGCTATCCATATCTTCAATTATGTTGAGATTGAACAAACCCAAGTAGTTTAATATCACTCTGAACAAAGAGTAATACTATTGCTGGGTTTCACATTATGACACTCCAGGATCAGCACTGGGTACTTTAGTGTCTCTTTTTCTTCAAAGTAACTGTTCATTTCATCATGTGTCATAAGATCAGTTCCCATAAACTCTTTATAGGTTCTACACATGTATGAGTCTTAACATGTATTTCTATCCTTTCTATATTAGAGGGAGAAACAAAACAAAGCAAGACAAGACAAAACGAGAAAGACATATAAGATCGTTGTACAAGGAATTCTACCATAGTTCCTGTGTTGTCTCTTGTTATCTTCAATAGAGTTGGCTAGATCACCAGACATAGTATAATTGAGTATATCAGTACATAACAGTATTAATAACAACACAACTTTGTATATAGTATACAACTTCAAAAGCAGGCAGTTATCAAACCAGAATTGGTATCGTAGAGTCTTGTCATCTTCAGTGTAGTTGCCTATACTCTCAGATTTGATGCTATCAATCATATCAGTTTTGAATAAAATCTGTCAATAACAAAGAGCAGTCAAACAAACCAGATTTAACTAACATCAGTCATAATACAGTCAAGTCATACAAGGGTCCAAATTAAGATAATAGAAAATTAAAGATGATTACTGTGCTATATCCTGATGTTTTTGGAATGGCTGTCTGTGCCCTCAAAACTAATGCCAGCAGACAAACTGGGGCAGAATAAAATCTATCAAAAAAAAAAGAATAAAATCTATCTAAGCAGAGTAGTACGAGTAATGTGGGTTTTAAATATTGATACACTATTAACAATATCTTCTGCCATCTTTTTTAAGACTCTCCCTCCCCTTTCACTTCCCCAGGGTACACTGTGCATTTTGGGGTCTGACCAAGATCCTTGATTTTAAATTGGGGGGGGGGGCAATGTGCTATTTACCTAAGTGATTCCAAACCTTCTCTCTCCTGCACTTGATCTCTAATTGTATTCCTTTACTATTAAAGCCTATGCACAAATACTGGTCTAGTTTGCCCCTATTACTCTCTGGTTCTCTGTCACATAGAGCATTGTTTTCTCATATTTGATTTTCAGTCCATGTATTCTTTTTCATGTTAATTATATTTCCTATAAATAGCATCTCGGTGGACCCTGCCTCCTGATCTACTGCATGTGTGGTTCTTTTTTTAAAATTTAGTGTATCAAGGCCATCTATATTAGAGATTATAACCAACCTTCTCTGCCTCACTTCTGTTATGCTCTTTTTTTGCCATCAATTGTCTGCTTATCTTCT